TCTTATGTTACATATGGTCCTTTTATTACAATTTATCTCCTTTATGTAGTTTATAAGTTATTCCACGCAAGAAGAATATTAATTAGTTTACCCTTTCAAATGTTGATTACCATTTTCTCCTCTTAAATGAAATGAATTTATAAGTAGCTTTCTTGGAATAGACTATGATTCGTGCATAATTGCATACATCCAATTCCTATGTCAGAATTTATCCGCAATAATTGAAAAGTAGCTTTCTATTACAGAAGTGGCTTTATTGCAATAAATTATTCATGCATAAATCAGTACGGTTGCAGAGAAATCCAAATCTATAGGTGACACGTAACTATTGCATGTCAATTAATTAATAGTTTATTACAGTGTTGTAAAATTCGCGTCTAGGCGCTAGGTACCGCCGGCCACCGCGAGGAAGTCCAGAATCGACCACCTCCGTGGCTAGACGGCTAGCCGGCTGAACCGGCCGTTTAATGTATTTTTTTATATTATTATTATTTTTTTGTTGTAGTGTTAAAAGTTCGGCAAGACATAACTTTTGATTCGATTGTCCGTTTTGGACAATTTTTTATTCAAATCACGTATTTTTTTGATTTGACTCGGTTGTCCTCACCAATTTTTCAAAAAATGCTTCTTTTGCTCTTAATTTTAGTTTTTATCTATTTAGATGGTTTCAACAATATTTTAAACTACTTTATAGCCACTTAAATAAATAGTTTGTAAGAAAAAATTATGAGAACCTTATGTTTTATTAGTGAATTTTGATAATTTTTAATTTTTAATTTTTTTTACATTTAAATAAATAAATAATCGGCGCCTAACATGTTTTGCAACCTTGATTTATTATATTAGCAATAACTTGTATTAATTGTTTAAATAAACAAAAATACTAGATGTATTCTCAAAATTATACTCCCAATTTATACTTTCACTTGTGTTCAAATTTGATTGGAGGAAAAAAAGAAAAAAATAATAAACAAATATAGTATTTTTGTTTATTAGCCACTATGTCTAACGGTAAAAAATAATATATTACACAAAAAATATATATATTTAATAAAATTTACTACTATTTATTCAGTGCTAGCCGTTTAAAATGTAAAATGAAAATTAGAGGTAATTAACATTTTCTAAATATGAAAATTACTGTATATTTTTGTTAAGTTTGTTCTTTCGAATAACAATATAAAACATGATAGTATATGATACATCTCATCTTAATTCACAAACACTAATAATACTTGAATATTATTGTCCCATTTTGACAGCCATAACTATATGGCAGCTTCTTCATTCCGCTCTTTCGGCGCCGTTATCTTTAAAAAAAAAAAAAAAAATTATTTGATAGCAATGCCCGTAATATGGCAGTATCTTCATTCCCTTCTTTCGGCAGGTGATATGGGCAAATTATTCTATGAACGTGAGTCCACATTGCAAATGCTCAAAATTTACATACTAAAAATTTGGGTGGTAGTTTATATGATAAATGAGTTCTTTTCATGGAGAGAATTTTGGGATAATTCGGGTTCAATTCTCACAAGTAACAATTCTCACAGGGTCAGCTTCCAGCCTCTCAGAGCGAATGGGGATTAGTCGAATGGACTTGGACCGTTAAACAGACAGAGAAAGATCCAGACCACCTCGTGATTTACTCCAAAAAAAAAATTACATACTACATGTTCACAATTTATCTTTTAAAAAATCACAATTTGTATACTATGAACACACGATGTTAACATATATGTAATTGATTACCTTGTATTGTAGTTATAAGCTCATTTCAAATACTACAGTCACACAATATTAACAGATTAGGATTTGATGACCATGTATTGTATTCACAAAAAAATCATTCTACCATTTGACTTAGAAACACAATTTTTATTCTAGAAGTTCACAATTTCAATATTAAAAATACACAATTTATACGTCGTTTAGGCAGACGTTATGCCATGGAACCGTGTTCACCATTCATGGTGAACACGGTTCCAACGGTGTTAGTGCACCGTTATCTTTTTTTTTTTTTAATTAATTAATTACGTGACTGCCTACACATTCACTTTGGAACCATGCCTACACATTCACTTTGGAACCATGAGATTATGAATTTTCTGTTATGAGATTATGAATTTTCAGTTATGAGATTATGAATTTTCAGTTATGAGATTATGAATTTTCTGTTATGCGATTATGAATTTTCTGTTATGAGATTATGAATTTTCATTACATTCATAATTTCGGAGTTTCGGACATTCATAAATTATGAATTCATGCATGCACATTCACTTTGGAACCATGCCTACATATTCCCGTCCGAAATCACGGACATTCATAAATTATGAATCCATGCCTGCACATTCACTTTGGTACCATGCCTACACATTCACTTTGGAACCATGAGATTATGAATTTTCTGTTATAAGATTATGAATTTTCTGTTATGAGATTATGAATTTTCAGTTGTGAGATTATGAATTTTCTGTTATGCGATTATGAATTTTCTGTTATGAGATTATGAATTTTCATAAAATTCATAATCTCATAACAGAAAATTCATAATTTGATCAGTAACGCGCCGTTAACTCCACATCTGCAATTTTTTTTTTTTTGTCTAAAAACGACGTCATTTTGACTTGTGTTCACCATTCTCGGTGAACACGATTCCACGGCATAATTTGCGTCGTTTAGGACCACCTAGTCCATGGTATAACAACTAGGTGATATGCACACCCACTCTATAGCCCAGATTTTTAGTAGTCTTTTTGATAGCAATGCCGCAAGTGTGGGTTTGGGCCAACATTGGGCTTTGGCCCATTAATGAAATATAGTGGGATTGAACAAGCCAATATGTGGTTTAAACCCAACATTGGAGTTCAGCCCATTTATGAAAGAGGCAAAATTATGCTATGCATACGGATGCAAAAACGACGTCGTTTTATTAAAAACGCGCGTCTCACTTTAAAAAAAAAAAAATCAGTTTCGATTCCCAGCAACAACATTATATTGTGCATAATTTAAACTATATATCCAGAATCAATGAACTAAAATTCCAGAATCGATGAACTAAAATTCCAGAACCTATGAACTAAAATTCCAAAACCTATGAACTAAAATTCCAGAATGAATGAACTAAGAATCCATAATGAATGAACTAAATATTCATAATGAATGAACTAAATATCCAGCATGAATGAAAAAAAAAAAATCAGTTTCGATTTACGTCTAAATATCCATAATCAATGAACTAAAGTTCCATAATCTATGAACTAAAATTCCAGGATGAATGAACAACATAATGTTGTTAAGAGAAATCGAAACTGAATTTTTTATTTTTAAGTGGGATGCGCGTTTTTAATAAAACGAAGTCGTTTTTGCATCCGTATGCACCATCGTATGCACCATGCATGGTGCATACGGATGCACAGCATAACGATCCATGAAATGAAGTGTAGTCAGGCAGCCCAATATGTGGTTAAAACAATCATTATTCCATGGACCATCAATAAAATGTATATTTTCATGGTCTATAGAAAAATTATTTGTCATGGTTAAAAAGGGCAAATTATGCTGTGGAAGTGTGCCCACCTTGCAAGGTGGACACGGTTCCACAGCATAACAATTAGTTAAAAAGACGCAACTTGAAAATCGGTTTAAATCATAAATAATATTGTGAAATATGGTCCACCTTGCAAAGTAGACCTTGGTCTAAAACGATGTCGTTTTGCCAACATTTCTTCTTTTTATATATATATTTTTTATTTTTCTTTATTTACATGTTCAAAAACTCAAAATTTAATGGTCAGAAACTAGACACTACATTCAATGTTTAGCTTAATGTTCAAAATCTCAAAACTTAGCTTACTGTTTAAAAATTAGACACTATATTTTCATCGACTCAAAGCTTAACGTTAATAAATTAGACTCTATAACTTTCACTCTATTATATGTTCAAAATATAATACACAGTGCATGCATGTTTATAAACTCAAAACTTAATATTTTGAAATATATTCAGCACCATGTAATGTTATCATTTTGGACCAAGGTTGACCCAAGGTGTAGGGTAGTATATAATGTAATATTACTATTTTGTGTGTTTTCATTTCATGTTACCCAGTCCAGTCTGTCATGCATTATAGGCATTAGGAAAGCGTAGGGCCGAGTCAACTCAGGAAAAGACAGTGGAGTTTCATCATTTCACCAAACGCCATCCACCACTACCCCCAATTCAATCAGTCCCTACCCCCCCCCCCCCCCCACCATCTTTCTTGTTTCTTCTACACACGTAATTTTAATAATTCAACCAATTCATTATTAATTAATTTCTTTTTCTTCCTTCCCCAAATATTTTAAGCCATACTCCCACCATAACCGATTATTTTAAGTTTTTTCCCCGCAAAACAAACGCGCCTCACAGGTTGTCCCCCAGCATCATCGTCGCTGCTTCATGTGCTTTCTTCCTACTGCCAACTAATAACCACCCCAGCTTTCAAATTTTCACAACAAATTAAAATAGTATGTTTGGTAAATAATTTTTAGTGATTTAATTTGTAAATTTAATTAGTTTATGGGTGTTGGGTAAATAGTTGATAACTGAATGAATTTATAAATTTAACTAGTTAATAACATTAGCTGATCGTAGAATATTTGAGATCGAGATCGAATCTTACTCAATCGTTAATCATATTGTTTTTGAAATTCCATGGTAATACTATAAATGAAGAAATGTTTATAAAGCAAGATAAAGGGAAATATGAAATTAAATAGAAAATGAAAAAGAATAACAAAATTTATTCAATTATTTCATATACAGAGGTCAAACCCAATGTAGAATCAAATGAACAACAATGAGAAAATATAGCCACAATAAGTGAAAGCAAAATACATTAAAGAAAAAGAAAAAAGAAAAGTTACTCCACTACTCAACCCAACAGAGTACAAAATAAATCTGGTCCGTCCATAGAAGTACAGATCTATACTCAGTTAAGCCCACACCACACGTGGCACTACATCAGGGCAGCCGCGAGGACAACGCCAGCGAGTGCGGCGCCTCCCATGGCGACCCTGGAAGCAGCATTTGGCGGCGGGGGAGACTCGGCGGAGGGCTGATCAGCAGAAGGTGCGGCGCCGCTGGGGACCGGCGCCGGCGGCGAGGAGATGGACGGACCGGGAGATGAGGCGTCAGGGGTAGGAGCAACTGACGGGGTCGGTGCGGTGACCGGTGCTGGGGAAGGAGAAGTAGTGGAAGGAGTTGGGGTCGGAGTAGGCGGCGCCGTCGTAGGCACCGGCGTCGGCGCGGCGGAAGGAGAGACTTTGGGCGCCGGCGCCGGGGATTGTGCTAGGCAGGAGGTGGCGAAGAGAGCTAAGAGTAGAAAGAGCTTGAGACTCATTTTCACTAACTCTCTCTTTCTTTCTTTCTTTCTTTCACAAAAGAGGGTTTTTTGGGAGAGAAATGAGAAGAAGTGAGAATAGAAGAAAACTGTGAGAGGAAATATATATAGAAACAGGCAAAGAGCAGATACACACTTCTTGATTTTAATAAGCACTAAAGAGAGAGAAAAACTGAAAAAGAACTAGAAAAGTCCTTTAAAAAAAAATTATTTTATTTTTTGGATGACATAAATTTTATAAAAAGAACTAGACTATTTTTAAATCACAATTCCTTTTGAAATTATCATATTACATAAATTCAATTAGAAATAATATAACAATTTCAGAAAGATGCAATAATGCATAAATGCCTGGAGAATACAAGAGACTCAGAGACAAAAAAAAAAAAAAAAATGTTAAAATACAAGGACTTAATATTGCTTCACGACATTGCATCTTTTGATGTAATGGGTAGGCACTGTTCTTAAAATAGAAAATTGATAAGGCCACAATATTCGTAGCATCGTCAGCAACCATAAAGTGCGAACAAAAAAAAAGTAAAACAATTTTTTTTTTTTTTTTTTCAGGATTTATCATGTTAAGATTTTTTGTTTGAATTTAAAAATATTTATAGAATATATTAGCGATAGATAAGATGAATATAATGTCAAATTGCAATTAAATTATACTCTGTAATAATTTTATATAATTTAATTCAAAAAGTATCAAACTATAACACATCTTAAATTGAGCATATAAAATATGTCAAAAACATTTAGAAAAAATTGTAAAACACATCTCTTTAATTCGAGTATTAAATTAACCAGACGTTATGCCATGGAACCGTGTTCACCATTCATGGTGAACACGGTTCCAACGGTGTTAGTGCACCGTTATTTTTTTATTTTTTTTTAATTAATTACGTGACTGCCTACACATTCACTTTGGAACTATGCCTACACATTCACTTTGGAACCATGAGATTATGAATTTTCTGTTATGAGATTATGAATTTTCTGTTATGAGATTATGAATTTTCTGTTATGAGATTATGAATTTTCTGTTATGCGATTATGAATTTTCTGTTATGAGATTATGAATTTTCATTACATTCATAATTTCGGAGTTTCGGACATTCATAAATTATGAATTCATGCATGCACATTCGTTTTGGAACCATGCCTACATATTCCCGTCCGAAATCACGGACATTCATAAATTATGAATCCATGCCTGCACATTCACTTTGGAACCATGCCTACACATTCACTTTGGAACCATGAGATTATGAATTTTCTGTTATAAGATTATGAATTTTCTGTTATGAGATTATGAATTTTCAGTTGTGAGATTATGAATTTTCAGTTGTGAGATTATGAATTTTCTGTTATGAGATTATGAATTTTCATAAAATTCATAATCTCATAACAGAAAATTCATAATTTGATCAGTAACGCGCCGTTAACTCCACATCCGCGATTTTTTTTTTTTTTTGCCTAAAAACGACGTCGTTTTGACTTGTGTTCACCATTCTCGGTGAACACGATTCTACGGCATAATTTGCGTAAATTAACTCAGTTGGTCACATGGTAAAATTTATAAACAATAATTCGGGATACTAGTGGACGGTTGTGTGAGAAAACAACCTTGCAAAGGTCCAGTACTATGGCCAAATTTGGTGTTTTTACGCGTACAATGGCCAAATTTCTACGTGCAAACAACCCTCTACCTAATATAAAGTCAATTTTATGTATGTTAAGTAAAATGTCGTTATCTAAATAACTGGCAATATTTATAAAATGCATTCGTGCCACTAATTTCCATATTGATTATTTGATTAAATCAACTTTAACAGCTGCGGACCGCTAATTTCATTCCTAATTTGTCTGCCCTGCGCGTTGGCATTTTCAAGTCTTAGAATGATGGGTGAACTTTCATTTTCGCTCTTGAAAACTAATATACGTATTTGAGATAGTTTAAACTCAAATTTACTAATCTAATTAAGTTTCAATCGATCCCGTTTAAGGTAACTGCATACACATAAAATCTAAGACTTTCATCGAACACAATAACTAATCCTCTGCTTGCTTGGAAAGTTAAGTCTGTTCAACTGTCCCATACCCAAAGTCAATGATCGACCCCTTTGACGTTTGCTTATAGATGACCGAGTCCATTCTACTCAACCACAATCCTCAGGTTAACCTGAATAATGCTCGCACAAGCTTAGTTTAGTGATTCAATAGGCAATATTTTGGAAAAGATCAAAGACTAGAGTTCTAAACTCGGCAACCATAATGTAGGGTCTGTTGAGTCAATGAGTTTTCCTGATTTATCTTCTCCTATATGCTCTGTCGGGTTAGGAATTTAACATTTTGGGAGAAGAAGGTTAACCCGAATAATGCTAAGGTATATATAACTAATATTGGTATTAATGTTTTAAAAAATACAGCGTTTACAAGGAGTGAATTAACGCAAAGGAAATATAGAATTGATCAAGATGGAGACACTTTATTGGTAGCATTATTTTATCGTGGCCTCCATCGGGATTAAGAATAGATGTAATATGACCGTTTGGTAGGTACATTATTGGAGATAAACAAATACTATTTAATTATTATATCAATAATATTAAATCATACAACGGATAATGGAAGGAAAAAAAAAAAAAAAAAACAGCTAAGATTATTATTATTGTTTCATTAGAAAATTTCTCAAAAATATTTGCACTTTGTTGGCCAGACTGTCACGCTTTGATGAGCATTACATGCAGCATTTAATCATAATAACAACATTAACAAAATGAAAAATATAATTAATTTTTAATTTAATTATTTATAATAAAAATCCCATTATACATATAGTCTAAAATTCAAAATATATTTTAGTATAAATTATGACCCTGTTTGATAAAATAGTTAGTCCATCAGTCAATTTTGACTTGTTTGACCAACTGTTTGACTTGGTTAAACAACTCATATGAGTGTTTGATTAATTTGTTTTTTTTAACAGTTTATTGCTCCAAAACACTAAAATTCAAAAAGTTGTTCAAAGTAGCTATCAACTTGATTTTTTGAAAAAGTCATTTTGTATGTAATCAACTATCAATAACAGCTAATTTACCATACATCTTTCTACCATCAACTAATGTTATCAACTAGTTAAATCCACTAACTCAATCAACTAATAGGTAATAACTATTTACCAAACACCCCTATATCTCAACTTTTTCAAATAATATATTTTAAATTTTGTTGTTGATCTCTTTAATTTGTTCTCTCATCAACTATATTAAAAAAAAATGTATAGTGTTTCTAAAGTTTTGCATCAAAGTGGTTTGAGGGGATGGCATTAGCATTTTATTATGTAAAGACTACTTGGTAGCATTTTATTGGTTCATTATGCAATTCAAAAATAAAATAAAATATAAAAGAAAAAAAAAAAAAAAAAAAGAAAAAGACAATACAATGATGATTGGCCAATGACATCCCTCATGTGTTTTTGTCTAATCACATGTAAAGAATATTAAACAGCCATGTTCTTAAAGTACATAATGAGGCTGAAGTAGCTGGCAAGAGTTGTCAGCCACCGAAGATAATTTGATGAGGAATCATACCATCTCTAATAATTTTACAATAATTGTCCATTTCTTGAATCTAAATTTAAGAGTTGGAATCATAGCATTTCTTGTAGTGGATTTTTTTTCAATCTCATAACTCTGAAAAAAAATGAATTATGACTAGACAAATCATAATCTAATTGTATTTTTAAGTCACTCTCACCGATGCCATTCTAATATTATCATTTTTTAACGTTACATCTCTCCCAAATAGAGCCATCAGTGACAATTGGAATACAATAATATGACCTTTAAAAGTTAATGCATTTTTCTCAAAAGATTCTTGAAAGAGTTGTCTCAACTTGAAGTTTGATGAATATTTAATTAGACTGGTCACATTTTATAAGGTGTTGATATCTATATAGTATGTAAAAAATTATCACATTAAAAAAATATTGATGTGGTGAAGCTTAAACACATATATGTGGGTCTGTTTGGCAGAGCTTATTTAGGAGCTTATAGCTTATTTTAAGTTACTAATAAGCTATATGCTCTGTTTGGTAGTGTTCCCAAAATAAGCTCCTAGCTTCTTAACTTTTTTTTTTTTTAATCTTTATCCTTATTATTTTAAAGAAATGACATAATTTATCCTTCTCAATTAATACTCTTTTCTCTTCTCCTTTATCCGCAATTTTCACCGCAATTATTATTATTATTATTATTATTATTATTATTATTATTATTATTTGCAACAATATTGCTACTTCATTATGAGATGCTAGATCATGATTATGCTAATAGTTTTATTTCAAAATGTTAATTTTTTTTTTTAAAGACAAAATGTTAAATTTTAATATGTAAACAAACTAATTTAAATTTTATGAACCAAGATTATGTGGTCTAATGGTACCCGGGTTGGACTTCCATTTGGAAGGTTATGAGTTTGAGCCTCCGTGGAGGCGTTATTGGTTCTTTGTGTTTCAATAGGTTGAGAAAGTATATGAACAGATACTACAATGTAATAGGGCCAGTAACATTCAAAAAGAAAAAATTTAAATTTTATGAAGATGTCCCTTTTAGTCTTTTTACATTTATCAGTTTATCAAAAAGTTAATTTTACCAAACACTTTCAATCATAACAGCTAGCTTAATAGCTCTTCAGTTTTCAGCTCCGAGCTTATAGCTTTTCAACTTTCAGCTCCTAGCTTATAGTTTTTCAGCAAGGTTTGCCAAACAGAGCCATACATAGGACGTTAATTCAAAAAATATGGTACTAGTAGGTCAATTATTACACCGTAGGTCATGATTCATATTGCAAGATGTTCAATGATATACATGTTTGTTTTTAATATGTTGAAGGTATATTTTTAATGTATTATCTAAAAAATAATATATAATATATTAAATGAAAAAGGTACAAATAGGCCATTAAACTATTTTGGGATATCAATTAAGGCATCGAAT